CTTTTGTAAATGTAGAAGTGCTTGTGCGACGAAGCGCAAAGAAAATAGTTCTCGTGGGTGCCCGTGCAAAGGGAGAAACGGGCTGTGAAAGTGAAAGTGAAGTGAAAGTGAAAGTGAAAGTGAAAGTGAAAGTGAAAGTGAAAGTGAAAGTGAAAGTGAATGATTCGATACCTTAATAGCAGCATAGGCTGAATTGCTAAGGTCTACAGTGTTACTAAGGTTGAGATCGGACGTCAGCATTATCAGGCGCCTCTGGCAGCCGCTTTAGTCCATGTAACGACCTCACCTTTTCCCCCACACATCCCACCCCAGGGGAGGACATCCATCACACAGTAATCTCGTGTGTGGGAAATTAACGTCTCCTACCCCTAACCCTGCAGGAGACGGGACCTCCATTTATTCGTCCTTATCCGAGAAGACTAGAATATCTAACCATTTCATTGATGTTATAGAAAGGTAGCAAATTCTCCTCAGTTATTTTAAGACCATGAGTATTGGTCCGGCCGGGGCTCGAACCCTCGACCTCCCGCACAACACAATCCGGCGCTCTAACCAATTGAGCTAACCAGGAGGCGGTTGATGTGATCAAGTGCTATTGCAAAATAAGTAATACAGTGAAGGACACACTTTTGAGAACAGAAGAAGAGAATGGCTCGCAAATTTTAACTTCCTCTCAACATTCCTTTCCTTCTTTGTATGTTTGTCTATTTTAATCAGGGAGATACTTAAACATGACACATACATCAAATACTAAAAATTATCAATTGCAAGTAAAAGTAACCAGCTGTCTGTCATCATACACAATTCTCCCCCTCCCCCCCCTGCTCCATTAGGAATAGGAAGGGGTTGAACAGGATGCCGCAATTGTCATGCAGGAATCACATATTCTGGAGCAAGAGTCCAAAGAGACCGTTTTGACATTTCCTGGCATCCAGTAATGTTGCAAAAATCTCATATTCTGGAGCAAGAGTCCAAAGAGACCGTTTTGACATTTCCTTGCATCCAATAATGTTGTAGCATCCTGTCTGATGATATTTTAAGGCAGAATGTAAAACAAACAACTTTATATCTCTTTCTTCCAGAGATGATGATCCATAACAGAATTAAATGGAACTAATGAGAAGCAGTTGACTTATAAATATTAACCAAGAAGCTCTGTCATGTTAGGAGCATTTCAAAGAGATTGCTTTCAACCACTGTGATTTTGCTTAAGGTGTCTTTTTGGAGTATCTAGATGTTTAGAGACATGGGTGTAAGCAAATTTTCAATTGGTGAATAATATGAAGGGTTAAAATTGGTTTATGATTTAGGCTTGTCTACTCTCAATGTACCCTGCTGGCAGAGGCGTTTATTTGTTAACTTCCCCTACGGTCCACGTAAAAATAAAGTCCTCTGCGCTCGGCCTCTTAAATCTTCTTCAAGCATGCGCCTGGGAATTATCCAAGTTTGTGGATAATCTGATTTGCAAAACTGGTCAGAACCTGTTTTAAACACGTTTTTATGCGCATGCATCCTATTTAGCTATATTGCAAGACCAAGTGTGAGCCCACAATCAGCCGAGTACTACCGGTAACTAATTTGTTTTTAAGCAACAGGCCGCGCATGCTCAAAGAAGATTTAACAGGCTGAGCGCAGAGGACTTTATTTTTAGGTGGACCGTTGGGGAAGTTAACAAATAAACGCCTCTGCCAGCAGGGTACTCTCAATGCTGCTTTGTAGTTAAATTAGAAAAACAAATGATTAAAGCTCTCTTAGGGAACCTCCCTCTGGGTAGATGTTTCCTTATGAAAAACTTTTTTAATTGGACATCTATTAACTTTTTAAAACTATTGATTCTCACTAGTTAAGATGCTTTTCTTGTTGATGAACTTGGTTTTTCCTTACTAGAAGGAAAAATATCAGCTTTCAGTACTCAATGCCCAAGTCAATTTCTCATGAATGATTATTAGTTTTGTTTATTCTTCCCACCTCACTGCACTTAAGGGGGGGGGAGATTAGGCATTTGAATCAAATGCGAGTGATTCTGTCACTGAGGGACTTTGATGCATGTTTCTCATAGAAAGCATAATTTGTGTTATTTATCCTTAACTCAGTTTGCCTTGACCAAAGTTTAGAGAGAGTTTTCCTCATATTTTTTCATGGATGGTACCACCCTGTGTACATAGATCTTGCAGTTGATTATAATTTAGCATACAGTGCAGGGGTGTGTGATAACAAAATTTTTTTTTTTTGCGAAAAAAGCTACAATTCATCAGATTCATAGTTTGTAAAATGTTGTATATAGCTTAATTATATGAATAGGAATAGTTAATAAAGGGAACAATTTTTGGTATATCTCTAATTGTGTTGACGATGCAAGAAGTTTAGATTACATCAGAACAGTTATTGTAATACCCTATCCAAGTGACGGGCAACTTGGGGTGACTTTTATGAAGAGTTGAGGGTGTTACTTGAGTTGAAAGGGCGTTCAAGAATGTCCCATGCTAGTACAAAACTTGCGTTCACTGATCTTCACCGGAAGTTGAAAATGAGTGATAAATTTCTCTACCCTTCATAATATGCTACTTTAAAGCGTGGCATGAAGAAGAGTTATTCAATGATTTTGATTATGAAGAGAACAAACCCGTTTGAATTACCTGTAAGTGACATTAGTCAGGTTTGGTAAGGTAAGGCCGGTAAGTGCCTTTGAGTACCTAACGAATGCACTCCCTTCTTGCGACACGTTTTAGCGCAGTTGTATGTGATCTTCAAGCGAATAACTCGAGTCTTGAACTATGAAATTAAATATTGAGCCATGAACATTAAGGATGGGTCGCTACGGCTGTTTCGAATCGATACGATACCGAGTACGATATTTACTTTTTTCTTCGATACCGATACTATGACGTCATTGAAATATGTAGTAAGTCACGTGATCTGAGTGACTAAACGAGACACTCGCACGGTTTTCAGTTCAGGTCTCTATAGTAGCATTAACAAGACAGTCAAATATGTCAAAAATCTAATTTATTGGGACTCATTTTTAATTTTCCCGAGGAAATGACGAAGACCGCAATGGTACAATCTTTCTACTCAGTACTAATAATATTAAGCAATCTGCAACTTTCACTTGCATTCATGATCATAAGGCTACACTGAAAGGTTATCAGTCCCTGCGCTGGCGTCAATGATCAACGTTGGCCCTTAAACATTTTTTTGATCACCGTACTGATAAGGAACCTAAATCTGAAACACTACTACGCTTAGCCGAACTAGTGCTCACACTCAATTGTTTTTCATTCGGAAACAACTTCTTCAAACAAACCAGTGGTGTAGCCATGGGCACCAAAATGAGACCTAGCTATGCCAATCTTTTTGTAGGTTTTGTCGAACATCAATTTTTCAGCCAATACAACGGGTCCAAACCTGAACTCTACGGTCGCTACATCGACGACTGTATCGGCGCTACCTCCTCTACCAGAGAGGAGCTCACTAAATTCATCACCGCAGTCAATTCTTTTCATCCGGCTCTGAAATATACCTGAGAAATTTCTGACAATTCTGTATCCTTTTTAGACATCAAAGTTTCAATTGAAGGTAACGGTTTCTGCACTAGTGTGTATTACAAGCCTACAGACTCGCATAATTACTTGTTATAATCGTCTTCGCATCCATCTCACGTTAAGAATTCCATTCCTTTTTCTCAGTTTCTAAGACTTCGTCGTTCATGTAGTGATGACTCTGATTTCCACCACAAATCAGAGTCAATGTGCCAGTTTTTCGATAAACGTGGTTACCCTGTTTCTGTCGTTCAAGCGGGTTACCACCGCGCCCAACTTATTGATCGACATTCAGCACTACAAACGTCGCATAAGGAAGATTCCGACCGCATTCCATTCACTCTCACGTTTCACCCTCACAACCACTCAGTTAAATCCATCATTCTTAAAAACTTTAAATTACTTCAAAACGATCCAGAGACAAGCACTATCTTTTCGCAGCCTCCGCTCATTTCATTCAAACGCGACAAAAACATAGGCAATTTTTTGGTCAGAAGTTCTTTTCAGACTAATGACCAACCAGGCACTTTTAAATGCGCTCGTGCACGATGCAAAACGTGTCCTTTCATTCACAACACTGATAAAATATCGGGACCTAAACGATCCATTAAGATCACCGATCACTTCACGTGCACCTCCGCCAATGTAATCTATTGCATAACTTGCACTTATTGCAAAAAGATATACATCGGCGAAACAGGCAGAAGACTAGGTGACCGATTCCGAGAACACCTTCGAGACGTGGAAAGGAATGACAAGGACACATCGAAACCAGTCGCTAGACATTTTAATTTACCTAATCATTCTAAGCAACATATGGCAATCTGCGGTCTTTCCTT